GCTCTCCACTACAAAGAATTTTCCATTTGTTACTTCAGACACTGACCTTTTTTTAGGTTTTCTTTTAACTTTTAGCTTAATTTTTTTATTGCAATTTGTAAATTTTTATTTCACACACCACTTTTCATGCCTGGAAATGTGATATATCCTAAAATAATATTCTCAGTATCCAACTGCTGTTTTAACCAAAATCTTTATTCCATGAAAAAAACTAATACTGTTTTTTCTTTTTTCTTTTTTCTTTTTTCTTTTTTCTTTTTAATTCTACTTCTAAGTTCATTCTCCAACATCTGGGGAAAAAAAAAAATAATTACAGTCTGCCTGACTGTGTTGATCTGACATACTTTTTATATGGCTGTAACTTTTTGCACTTACTGCTGCTGATTTATCTCACTTTTTGCTATCACAGAATGTCATGATTTTCAGTTGTGAGACTGACTAGTGATGCAGCAACTGATAACTATCTGAATGTAAAATTGATGTTTGAAAATACAGAAAATAAAGCTGTTTCTCTACAGAAAGGTATGCATATAATTCAAACTAGGTGAAAGACTTCACTTCACAGTTAAATAATCTTGAATATGATTATGAGTAAACTTTTTTTTTTTTTTTTTTTTTTTAAATCTATTGTGAAGTGCTTTATTTAACAGAATACTTAAGAACATTTCAGTGGGTAGATTGGCATCATGTTAGTATCATCTCTGCCTGCCTGGTTCACCTCAGACCTGCTTATATGAGGAGCTGTTGGTTTCTCCCTATTTGTTCTCCTGTTCAAATGGCATTACCCAGGAAAGCAATTCCACCATGAGCATCATCAGTTCCCATTGACTTCAGCTGAAGTGAAGGGGCACACCCTTTCTTAGGGGATGTGAAGAAGCATCAGATCGGATTCTTGAGATGAAATTCACTTATTTGCAGAAGGTTTACACAAAGCTTAGGTATCATTTAAGTACCACATACTTTTTTATAATGGAACTCAGAGGGGATCTGAGGAATCTGATGGACTTTTTGCTGTCTATCTACAGAGGTCTGAATTTCACACCTGGTGGATATAGGAAGTAAAATTCCAACTATGCTGTCTGAGAAAATACAATGTATTTCTTTGCTTTGATGAGTATAACTCACTTTAAATTACCAATAGAAGTTCTTGATATTGTGCTGATAAAACAGTTGTATGCTTTGCTACTTATGTATTTAGCTTCACTGTGATACTCTGCTATAATGGACAAACTGAAAAGGAAAAATGCAAAAACAGACATAACCCCACAGATATGGATATGGCCTGTGATGTAGCTGCACGTGCTTAAGAGAACAGTACACCTCTATCAATTTACACATAAGTGTGAGGGTGTCCAACTGCCTACTGGAAGGTGGCCAAGAAAACAAAGCATGTTATGGTTGGAATAAGTGTGTGTGTTTTATACAGAATTGTCTGTCTAAAATTGATTATGTTGAGGAAGAGGGCACCAATTAACCAAGTTAAACTGCACGGGGAAAATACAGAGATTTTAGGAGGAAAAAAAGGTATCAGCCTTAAAGTGGTAGATTTGTGAGGCAGGGAGAGACCCTATGGAGTAAACTTTGCAGAGCAAAGGTGCACTTTAACACACGAGCTGAGTAATTTTTCCTGAAAAAAAAAAAAAAAAAAAAAAAAAAAAGCTTTTGCTTTTAGACACATGAGCTAGCCAGTACACTTAAGATAGAAATTCTGTGAAATTCTCTTGCTATGTACTAAATTTGTGTGGATACAGCCAATACCCAGAGCAAGAGCTCAAGTATTTGTGATATTACAGATAGCTCAGATAGCTGCATTCTGAGATAGCAACCAAGCAAACACTAAGAGTAATCCATAGAGGAAATAAATATATTTTTGTAGGTTACTCCAAATTATGTTTCCAGGAAAACCTTATATCCGAGATAACAATGGCAATCTACTATATATATTTTTAGTTTGCCTGTTCAGTCTTTCATTGAGCCTTCACATTATTGAGACATTGATAGAAATAGCCATTACAATATGTGATTTGCAAAATATAAATGCAAATGGATGAGGTTGTTGTTAACATTTTACTAAGGTTTTTCTGTGAAGTCTGTGACTGGATGCATGCATTCACTCGGGAAGAATGAGGCTATTACGAGTTACATAAGAGATGTTAGCCTTGAAAACTGATGCAGTCCAGTTCTCAATAGAGCAGTACCTATTCACCCCAAGTACAATCTCTATTTCATTATTTTATATGTTATAAAAACTTAGTTGATTTGCTTAAAAAAAAAATATTGTAGTTATGAAATTTTGGGGGGAATTGTTCCTTTAGTGATATATATCACCTCATGAACAGCGAATGTTCCTATGTAGATGTTAGGGAGCTGTGGTGTTTTTTAGTAATGAAAACCTTGTTATGAATTTCAGATTGAGCTTCCACTGAAAGAAATGCTTGTTATATTGCTGGAGCTTACCAACAATTGTACTGGGACTGAGGACACAAGATGTTTCATGTCAAAGTATTGGAAAGGATTTTATTGAAAGACTTTAAATTACAGTTGTATTTCTTGCCATTTTCTGGTGGCATTGGGAATTGTGTTCTTAAGTAGTTTCAGACAGGAAATCAAGGGTGTGAGGAGACTGTTCAGGTGAGCGTAAAGAGCTGCCACTGGGTGTAAATGTTGCTTTTTATCTACTTGAACCCCAAATTAATTTTAAGCACCATAAGCTTCATATGCATTTATTTCCCTGTAGCTCTTTTTGTTGATCTCATGAGAGATGAGATATATGTATGATTCAGATAATAGTGTTACGCATGAACATAGAGCAAGACATGATCTCTGTCTTTGTGGAATTTGTTTTCACATTGAATCCTAAAGCACACAAGTTGAGGTGACAAAGCTTTCTCACAGCCTAGCCCAATATTGTCAAGATGAACTCTGAGAGAACCAAAGGTTGTTTTCTGTGGACTGCAATCCTTACCATCTGTGTAAAGACATATTGTTCATCATTTAGCATAAACATGTGGCACCATGCAAGAAAATCTGTGTCTGTATTATTAAAAAAAAAAAAAAAAAGGCATCCCAAACTAACTTGGAACTCCAGAACAAGTAAGCCATGGAACTGTGGATCCAAAGAAGGTACTCAAAGATGATCAAAGGACTGGAACACCACTCTTATAAAGGAAGGTTGATGGAGCTGGGCTTATTCTTCTTGTAAAGAGAAAGCTCCAGAGACATCCCACTGTAGCTTTCCAGGTACTTAATATGAGCTTATAAACAGGAGGGAAACTTAGTGTGCAGTCAGATATTGATAGGACAAGGGGGAATGATTTTAAATTAAAAGAGAGGTGATTTAGATTCTGTATTAGGAGGAAATTTTTACTCAGAGGATGGTGAGGCACTGGAACAGTCTTGCTAGAGAAGCTGTGGGTGCCCCATCCCTGGAGGTGTTCATGGCGAGGTTGGATGGAGCATTGGGCAACCTCAGCTGGTGGGTAGCAACCCTGCCCGTAATAGGGGGTTTGGAACTAGATGACCTTTCCAACTTAAGCCATTCCATAATTTTAACTCTCCACTCTACAATTTTCCCTACATGGAGAATGAAAGAACAATTAAATATCTGATCTTAGTCATATTGCTTAGTATTCCATCAGAATAAAACCCAACTACTAAATAGGTGAACTCAAAATAAGTCTTATTATAAGGCAGAAATACATTTATGGGAATTAATCCCCCCTTTTTTTCCCTAGCTTGCAGAAAATAAAATTCAGTATAGCTAGTGTGCATCTCCTTTAATGCTCTGTTGTTACACAAGGAGGACTTGAGGAAGTCATGAGGAACCAGCTTACAAGGGAGACTAAACTTTATGAGAAGCCACAAAGCATATAACACAACACCTTTCAGGTAGTTATGGACTTAAACTTTCTGACTAAATCTCCTTTCCCCTGTGGTAATAGGACAGTAGGGTTCTTGTTCCAGACTTATTGTCTCCTTCCCCATGATTTCCTAACATGTTCTTCCTTATATGCTAGTCATAGAATCAAAGGTTATCTCAAGCTGAAAGAAACCCACAAGGATCGAGTCCAACTCCTAACTCCACCCAGAACCACCCGGAATCCAAGCCCTACATCTGAGAGTGCTGTCCAGATATTCCTTGAACTCCAGCAGGCTTAGTGCAGTGACCACTAACTTCCCTAGGGAGCCTGTTCCATGCCCACCACCCCCTGATGAAGAACTTTTTCCTAATTCCCAGCCTAACCCTTCCCTGACACAACTCCATGCCATTCCTTTGGGTTCTGATGCTGTCACCAGGGAGCAGAGCTCAGTGCTGCCCCTCCACTCCCTGTGAGGAGCTGTAGGCCCCCATGAGACTTTCTCTCAGCCTCCTTTTCTCTGGGCTGAGCAAACAAAACAACCTCAGCTATTCATGATGTCCTGCTTATGTTTCTAGTTCCTGCCCTGACTTGCCTACCATTGTAAGTATCACAGGGCTTTCCCAATTACTATCATTATGTTAACTTCTTTACCTATTACATCTTTTCTCTCTCCACTGTTTTTCATGTCTATTTATTATGTAAGCTATTCACGATAAGATTATTTACAGCCTAACACAATGCATCTCAGTCATTGGTCACGTTTAGGCTATTGTAATGATTTAGTGAAATAATAAGGCTCCAGTTGTTAGCATCCACAACATTTCATTGACTGTAAATAGCATGGAATTTGAAGTTGGCTAACTTTTATGTTCTTTTTATGTATGACAGGGCTACCTTTTTATTTATTGTTGTTTTTTAAGTTCTATTTTTATTATGAAATTTGCTGGCACAGCAAATGTTGTAAATAATTCTGTAAATTGCCTGAGGCTGTTTATATCGTAACCTATGGGTGCATTATTAGATGATGAAAATAGACGACTCTAATGAGAAAATGCTTAGAAATAAGTGAAACGTGAACTCTCCTGACAACCTTTTTTATTGTTTGGTGATTTTTTTCTGTTTATTTTTTTTTCTGTTCAGCACGAATTATCAAAACAAAACAGTGGTGTGAAATGCTGCCATGTTTAGAAGGAGAAGGCTGTGATTTGCTAATCAATAAATCAGGCTGGACCTGTACACAACCAGGAGGTCGGATAAAGACAACCACGGTAAATCACTTCTCTTTTCTAAATTCAGTATCTTTTTCTCTGTGTTTTATTGAAAACAAAGAATGAGATTTCTAATTGCTTTTCAGCACAGTTTTGTAAAGTCTGTTGCCTTATAATTAAGCTATGGGTCCAAATGTTCTTACTGAAATGCAAAGAAGTGCTATCTCAGAGGCAGGAAAAATGTAAAATGCCCCTAAGAATGGAAATTGTGTCAAGGTTTTCTTATAAGGGATCAGTGGTTTTACTAACGCATGTATTCAGGCCGAAAATGATTTCTTATTTCTTCACTGTATGAAAATTTTTGTGTGCTGAAGTATAGGATATAAAACTGAACATGTGTTCTAGCAGAGCAGAAAGAAAGCTTTCACTAGGAAGTGAGGAGGAAATATTTTTGCTACTCCCACCACAATGGAAAAATCTTTGCACAGACAGATCTTTAGTTTTCACTGAGGCAGTAACAGAGCAGCATAGAAAACCTATTTGAAAAAAAAAAACAAACAACCTTTTACCTTCATTTTGGTCCTAGTTTGTTGATAGAATCTTCAGATCTCTGATTTTGTGTCTTGAGGCTTATGCTTGCAGTAAAGCTGATAGTGTATATGACAGTGATAGTTTCTAGTGTCTGTAATATACCACATATTTCAACAAAATGTTCTCAAATGCCAATAACTCTCTGACTTCAGAAATGGAAAAAATCCTGATAAGTATAATAGAGAAACATTCTGATAGCTAGCTAGACCTTGTGAAATGATTTTTCCCCTATAAACGTTTTTTAGATTTACAGGGAGTTTGAGTGTAATTTAAATAAGACAATTTCAAGAATATTTTGTGTTACAAGTACTTATTAGTGAGGGCTAAATTAATGCCTATCAACCCCTCCACAATTTCTCTGTCTGAACAGGAGACAGACAGCAGTAGAAAGGCTCTTATAGCTTTAGAATATCTGTATTTTTAGAATATCTGTATCTTTTATAAAAGGAATGAAGAGTTGATGAGACTTTATATGTTCTATGCAAAAGAAACTCCTTGAAATGTGATTACTGTTTTGATGCTCTTATTTTTGGAAGACATTTCGTTATGGACGGGGCTACAAAACTCAGTCTCTGAGGTCTTACTTAAACATTGTTTGTCTATAGATATTTTGAATTCAAGTTACATAAGCATGTCCAACAAAAAAAAAAAAAAAAAAAAAGACCAAAAAAAAAAGTTTTAAACATTAATGTGACTTCTAATGGCAAGCATTCCTGATATAATTTTGTCAGACCAAAAGTATTATCTTAAATCTTGTTAATACAGGGGTGTTTTCTGTACTTGAGGTAAGTGGAAAACCTATGTACCATGACACATTATCAGCTGTCATTGTAGTTCTTTATTTGATGTTTTACGCTAATGAAATGGCTGAATAATGCAAAGTAAGCTGAGGATCTATCCTTTAGTATCTATCTTTAATAAAGTGATTCAGATAACCTTTCAGATTTAACATCAGAAGCTTGATTCTGAGCTCTTACTTGTCTGTATAGCTCCTAAATGCTATTGACATGAATTGAATGACTCATGATTTTGATTAACATAAATGAAATTATAATCATGCCCCATCTCAGTTAAATTATGGCCGAGACAAGTATAATATTATTAAGCAGATTCTTCCCCACATGGAGACATTGTTGTCATTGGTGAGGAAAGATTCTGCCAGAGAGCCAACTGTAGAACATCTCTGAGCATAAGTCCTCATCTAACATTGAGCAGCCTTCAACAGTTGGTATCACACATGCAGACACACAACAAACACACAGTATTTTTCAGTCAAGGCAGACTAGCTCTCAGAATGTTTAAAGAAGCTCTGAATCCAGAACGGAAAGTAAAACCAACCAACAGCAAAACCATGAAAATGCAAGCCATAATGCATTATTAATAAAATTACATTTTAACAAATGTTCATTTGTTCTCTAGATGCTTCATTGAAGGTTATGGAAAGCTCTGGACAACAGGCATGGAAACTAGGAAGTCTTAGGATAACTCTCTGAAGTGCTTGACTGTGATTTAAAAGAAGAGAAATTTTCTAGCAGAAACATCACGAGACCTTATTTTCTCTAGCAGTATTCTTACGTCAAAAGCTACTGACGCAGTCAAGTATTTTCTATTTCTGCTCAGAATATGCATCTGAGTTACCAGTCCCACAGTGGCGTCTAATTATAATGGGGAGGATTAACAGTGTGCAGAGAAGGGACAAGAAAATGGTCACCAGGAAGTAAGGGGAAATTCGTGTCCAAACATATTAAGTGAATTATTATACATTATTTGTATTGTTAAGTAGAAACAGTTAACCACATTTTCAGTGGTAGCTGCGTTATATCCTTAATTATATCCTAACTTGTTAACTCACATTTGTTAATCTAATATTTGCAGTCCTTTTCTAAATGCATTAATCAGTATCATGAAGATGTTTGGCACTAGGTCTTACATTGTCATGGCGATGATAGATCATATTGCAGAGAGATCTCTGGTAAATGCTGAAGACAGTCATTTGCTATTGTGCTGATGCCAGGACAGTATTGAACTCTGATGGACTGAGACCAGCTATTGTGGTAATACCAGCTGCTTTGATTGTAGATAGATGTGTCTAAGTGTAACTTTTGAATAACTGGGTTTAGAAGAAGCACGTGAAATTATAGAACTAGTGAAGATTCTGCCCAGGGCATCCTTTCTGTATGTGAGAATATAATCTAGGACTTCTAGTTAAATATGTTTTTTACCAAAACAAGGATGAAATACTTTTTATTTTCTTGAGATATATTCAACATTTAACATTTTTTCCTATGAAGTTACCAAGCAGATAGGATAAGAAAGTACCCTTTTCTTCAAAGTATAAGTGCAAATTCTTTAAACTGCTTCTTTGTTTGTGTTGAAATTCTATAGACTTTCTATGAAAAGCCAGATTTTTTTCACTGCATGGCACTTTTTGTAATTACCTCTGGAAACAATACAGTGAAATCAAAATTCTCTCCTCATGCGGGTAGGAGTGTTTTATACCCATTTTGTGCTCACTTTGCACAGCCATAAATGACTACACAAGGTGCAAGGCAAAGGAGAATCAAACTCAAAGTATACTCTAAATGGATCTGGATGTCACTTCTGCCCTGTCATCCTATCTACAAGGTGTGAATGAAGCAAGGATTTTTCATCTGCTAAGAGGCTTTTAGAATTGAGGATTGTCTGGGCTAACTGCCAATCTGTGTATTAAGCAGCTGATACAAGGAAACAATATGGCAACTTGTAAAATAAGGTAGCAAGAGAATACTACAGAATTGTTAGCACTTTCAACATAATTTCATGTGAAAAACGTCCTTTCAGTCACTTTAATACCTTCTGCCTTAAAAAGTTCTTCCCCTTTTGCTATTCTCACTATTTCTTTCATTCTTTTTTTTTTTTTTTTTTTTTTTTTTTTTAAAGAAGGTACATTGTATTTTAAAGTAGTATGTAGAATCAATAATACCATAAAATATGTGATAATTATTATATTTTTTCAGATGTTGTTGAGAAGCTTATCCATTTTATAGGTCAAGTTAAAAAAAAAAAAAAAAATCTTGCCAGTGTATAAATGAGAAGATTCAGAATGTATCGGCTTTACAGGAGAGATTAATTTTAGCAGCAAAGTGTATATATGTTGTCAATGATCCATCACTACCTAATTGTTACTTAATTAATTCCTTCTTCTACATGATGTGATTTCAATGCATGGAGCTTAACAGAACATTCATGCGCCAATTCCTCAGTAGCTAACCTTTTAAAACCTTTGTGATTGTACTGCTAAATTAGCTGAAGTGGGAAATTAAAGAGTATGAAGAAGCTAAGAGAGAGCTCACAGTGGATAAAAGGTGTAATTACTCTGACATGGAGCTCAGTGCTTAGCTAGTAAAATTTACTAAGGATCTAGTTTCACCAAGGGACGTGACTTTCTTAATAGAGTTTACTTACACAGCGAGCAACTTAGCATTCCTCGCCATTAATATAAATGACATGCTGGCTGGGTTGGAAAGGCAATTTGTTCTTTACTCTGAGAAATACGACAGCAGTTTTTATTGGCTGCAACTTAAATCAAGATTTTTTTGTAAAGCCTTATCGTACATAGATGTATGATAATGGTAAATCAGTGAAAATATACTGGTTTTCTTTTCGTCATTGACTTATGAGCAATATGTTCTCATTCATACCATTACATTCTAAGTAAATAAATATATATATGTTACATACTTGTAACATACTTGAGAATTTACTTTTTTTTAGACTGAAGACCAGCTGGAAATGTCCTGAGGCCATGGTCTAGTGGTCTGAGCTTGGGACTGGGAGCCAGAAACTCCTGAGCTCTAATCCCGGCTCTGACAGTGACTTCCTCTGTGGCCTTGGGTAAGTCACTGAACCTCTCTGCCTCAGTTTACCCAGCAGTAAAAATAAGATTAAAAATCCTTAGCTACTTATCTTAGTGAATTTGGAGATTTGAATTAATATTTTAAGAGCTTTAGAAATTCTGAGTTTCTTAAAAATGAAAGTACTGTTATTTATGTTCTTACTGGTGATATTCATGTTTTTGTTAGATACTCATATAACTCTGGCTTTACTGTACTTAGCTTCACTGACGTTCCAGCTCTGAGTGTTTCTAAATGTGCATTTCACATCTCCACAGCTCAGCTGATTGTATTTGGTTAAGCTGTTTTTGGAAGTTTGTTGACGTCTTACCAGTTGTAGTTGTTTCATTCTAGAACATAATACCCACAAAATAAGCTTTGAGAAAGCACTGAAATTAGAGCAGTGGGATGATGCAAGCATCCATGCTATGCCAATTAGGTTTCTCTCTTTCCCTTTTATGATCAACTTACAAATGATGCATTAGATGCATTAGACCCACTTGTTGGGAGGTCATCTTCCAAGTTCTCACACTGTTCTAATTTTAAGCAGGGGCACTACATACAGGCCAAAATTGGAGAGGCTATTTTTTTCAGAAAGCTGTTTTATCCCTTCATCTCTGTCCAGTGAAAGTTTTTAGAAACAAGAAGGAAGTACTTATCCTGAATTTTCTGTCATTCATGTCAAAGGCTATTGGGGAATCAGAATCTTGGGCTAAATTTAATAATCCTGGCTTCAAAGTCCATATACATGCATCATATTGATTAGTAATGTCTTGTCTTTTGTCTTTTCTTCAGTTGTGGAGAATCATAAAATCATTAGAGTTGAAAGGGCTCTTGTAAGATCAGAATCTGAAAGTCTCCCAAGGGTCTGAGGGAACAGGGGGTGTCATGTATGCATGTGTTCATTGAGCTTTTTGAGCAGGTGGCCATGTTGCGAGAGGAAATCACTAGGCAGAAAAGTATCCAGTAATCAGAGAGAGAGACTGATGCATGATGTTGTGCAGTGACACAGGCATAACTAAAGCCCTGTCTGAAGTTCCTGGAAGAGGAGGAAGAAGATAAACAAGCTTCCAGCCCTGAGGAGATAGATGGCAAAAGCACACAAGGTGAAGAGATTGTGTGCTCCTCTCTGCTTGGAGCAGAAAGAGGAGCCTCCTCCTTGACACTGAAATGCACATATGCAACAGGTGTGAAGCTCTAGGGATGTAAAGAGAAAAAGGTCTGGATAATGATTCAGACCTGAAAAGGGACAACTACAGTAAGACTGCCCAAACAAGGATACAAGTCAGAACCAGTGCTGCCAAAAAAAGACAGTGTCTTAGTCACTGGGGGGCACTGAGGCAGCAGTCAGTTGCTGCCTGAATAATCTCTCTAGAGAGGTTTGCTGCTTGCTCAGGGCCTGCATCAGGAAGAGACTAATGGGTATGATAAAACTACTATCTGCTTCTTCTCTTTCAAGATTGATCACAAGAGGCTGCAACTAGGACACTACAGAATATTAAAAAAGATTTTGTCTCTTGGGAAGATGATGTAGGGATTGGAAGCACAGGTAGTGTTCTCCTTGATCCTGCTGGTTGGAGACTGGGATCCAGGCAGAAGGAGAAGAACAGATCAGTTAAATGAATGGCTCCATGGCTGGTGTTATTCTCAGGGTTTTTGTTATTGTGACTTTGGACACACTTTTGAGAGACTGGATATGTCGACATTGGATGGGATAGAACTAAGCAGGATGTGTGGCCTGGGAAGAATATAAGGATGCTGTCTGAACACGTAGAGATGGGATCAGGAAAGCCAAGGCACAGATGAAACTGAACTTGGCAAGGGATGTGAAAAATAACAAGAAAGAATTCTACAAGTACATTGGTTCAAAAATGAACAAAGAGTGTACCCTCTTCTGATAAATGAGAAAGGAGAAGTGGCTTCAAAAGACATGGAGAATGCTGAGGTACTCAGTGGGTTCTTTGCCTCAGTCTTCACTGGTAGTCAGGCTTCCTAAACATTTAGGCAAGAATCTAGGAAGCAAAAATCCCTCCCACTGTAACAGCAAAGCAAGTCCAAGACTTCCTGATAAGATTGAATGTATGCAAGTCTATGGGATCAGATGATATGCATCCCATCAACCTGAAGGAGCTGGGTGAATTGATTGCCACGGTACTCTCCATTGTGTCAGAGAAATTAAGATTGTCAGACAAAGTCCTTTATGATGGGGGAAAAAGGAAAATATTGCTCCCATTTTTAAGAAAGGGAGAAAGGAATACCCAGGGGACTACAAACAGGTGAGCCTCACTTCTGTGCCTGGGAAAATCATTGAAAAAATCATCCTCAGAAGCTATACTAAGGCACATGTGAGAAGAGGACATGATCCAAGACGGTCAGAATGGCTTCACCAAGAACAGATCATGTGTGATGTTGGTGACCTTCTATGATGGAGTGGTAACTTTGGAGGACAAAGGAAGGCCAACTGATGTCTACCCAGTCTTGTGCAAGTCCATTGACGTAGTCTCACACCATATCTTTATTTCTAAATTAGAGTGATATGGATCTGAAGGGTGGGCTGTTTGGTGAGTAAAGAGTTAGTTGAATGGTCACAGCCAGAGAGTTGTGCTCTGTGTCCAGATGGAGACCAGTCAAAAGCTGTGTCCTACGGGGAACCCTTGGGATCAGTGCTCTTCAGCATCTTTATCATCAACATGGACAGTGAGATCAAGTGTACCCTCAGCAAGTGTGTTAAACTTGCTTAAAACGAAAAGAGGGGAGAATTACTTTAATGTTAGGAGCAAAACTCAGATTATGGTGAGGCACTGGAACAGATTGCCCAGAGAAGTTGTGAATATCCCATCCCTAGAGGTGTTCAAAGATATATTGGACAGCCTCATCTAGTTGTTGGCAACCATCCTACGGCCATACCACCATCTTCCTCTGACATTGTGAGCTGACATCATAAAATAGAAGGCATTACTTTCAGAGAAGCCCTCATAAAATATGCAATATGGTTAATGTATACAAGTGATAAAACTTCTTTTATTTTTTGTAATTGAATCATCTAACAAGGCAACAAAACTGTAAAACCAGTGGGATATTTGACTTTTTTTTTGGTTAAACAAATAAATTAGTCTGGTTTGGTGGTGGTGGTTGTAATGTGTAGTGAGCTAGGTGTTTGTCAGAGATTTTTGATGAAATTTTATTCTTCCTGTGCTTCATCCTAGAAAGCAGTTGTTCACATACATACGTACTGCCAAAATACAGTGTGACCTGTTCCTGCAGGCTGCAAATTCTAGGCACCTGAGTGTTAAAGTATATGCAGAGCTTTCAAAATCGTATATGCAAAGCTTTAGAAACATTTCCAAAAATTTCTGTTAAATCACACAAAACAAGCTAAGATTTTTGGACTAAACAAAACAAAAAGTGAATACAGAAAATTAAATTGATGTGATAGCATAGGGCTTTCAATAATTTCTTTGACACATTATTTCCTAAAATCATACTTGAAAATAAATTCAGATAGTCCTGTCACATTAAAAACTGCCATTTCAACAAGAAACTGATGGAGGACCTGCGAACAGCACATAATAGCAGTTAACAGAAGCGTATTGATCTAGGTCAAGGTGGCCCAGGAGGTGAGAGATTTGTGAAAGGTCTAATTTGATTTTATTAAGAATGGTTTCAAAAGCATAAAAGATGTTAAGCCCTCAAGTCTTATTGAAAATCTGTGGAAGGCAGCACATAACAGACATTTCTGTTTTTCTATATTCCCCTGCACTATTTTCATTAAGTGTCTGGAACAGAGCTCCAGTCCTTAGTAGCAGTATGTCTGCACATAAGTTTCTTTATCTTGGGGGTAGACCTAAAGGATGGCCTTGTCTGTTTTTCAATCTAATTAACTCCTGTCTGTAAGACCT